AGGCACTCCTATGATTTCTTCCCTCTCTCACTTGAAGGGACCTAACTAAGGTATTCTTCATTCTTGATATCCAGGGCATCCATTAAGCCCTCTTCTCCCTGCCAAAGTGCCTGGCCCAATCTCTCTTCTTCTGGAACTCTCTCTGGCTACGGTTTGATTCCTACTATTCTTCACTGAGTGCCAGGAACTTGTATTTTATCTCAAATCCTCCCTTCTCTGATCAGGAATCTCAGATACATTAAGTGATTTTCCCAGGGCTCCAAACTTAGAACTTTCATTCACTAGAACGTGTCTTCTTTCCATGAGGGCACAGCACGGCACACTCTCCTTCCTTCCTTCCTGGGTCCCAGAATACTCCTTCCACTCACAGATTTTCATAATTCTCCCTTCAGCACAGAAACTACCTATGCTAGATCTATGTGGCTGGATCATTGTTCCATATGTCTCGTCTTTAGAATAAAACTCGAAATTTCCATTCCTGCTTTTCCGTCATAACCCACTGCATAGTATCATGCTCAAAATAGGTGCGAGGAAAAAAAAGCTGGACATGTTTATTCATCAACACGCCCCTAGCTTAGTACTTGGCATATGGTAGGTGTTCAGAGTAGGAATTCTAGTACAGACTAGGCTTAGGCTAGTTCCCTCAACCCCCACCCTCCCATACCTCACACCTGGGTGGGTGTTCAACAAATGGTGATGTCACAGTGAAAGCCATCAGTGTGGTTTAGTGGAAAGCTATGGGATTGGAACCAGACCACATTTGTGTAAATTCCAATTCTGCTACACGCTGTGCAATCTTGGGCAAGGTACCTAACTTCATGGAGCCTATTTCTGTCAGATGTAAAATGAGGATTATGTTATGTGCTTCCCAGGATTCTTGTGAGGATTCGGGGCAATACAGACAGTGACAGGAGCGCTTACAAGGTGCCGTTAATTCACAGAGAGCCTTTATCTCTCGGGGAGACCCACGGGGCCAGCTCGGAGGGAAGCTAAATTGGCTTAACATTTTTGCCTGCCTGCTCCTTCCTCAACTTCTTTTTATCTCAGTGACATTTTGTGGTTAAAATAGACCTGTCAACAAACTAATTTCATTTTTAAATACTGCTGGGTAATAGTGCTTAAAAACCATTATTTTTTAGTCTTTTGTCAATGTGCTTGTAAACCAATGTTATTGGATCCATGTTAAAGATTTGGGGAGGGGCTTAGCTTCAGGCACAATGCATTAATGTAATTTCCATATTCCTTACATAACAGGACTCATCGACCTTTTAAATGAAGTAAGGACCATTTGGTAATTGTTTTGGCCTTAATTGTGACAAAATTGGCTTTGAGCCAGGGTCTATAGCTAGGAGTCTAAGGGGGCGGAGGAGGGTCAAGGAGGCCTGGGTTTGAATTCTGGCTTTCCATCTACTGGCTTGCACAGAATGTCTCAGTTCTCTTTTTGCTCAAGGTAAAAGGGGCATGATAACCCCTGTCTAGGCCTATAAGCTTGTAGAGTGCCTGGCATAGGAAAGACAATAAATGCTAGTGGTCTTTCTAGAAATGATTTCTTAAACCTCACAGATTTTTCTGGAAACTGTTTGAAATAATTACTTGGCATACTGGAATGTCATGTGAGTCCACTTTGAATTTGAACCACTAGTAGATTAAGCTGAACTCGCACTGAAAAGGCTTCTGGTAATTAACCTGGGGTTGGGTGATTTTAAGCCAGTTTTCATTCTGCTGCAGAAACAAAAAGGATGAGACCCGAGAAATGCTATTCCTTTAATTGAAGGAACACTTTTATGTTCTCAGGTCTATTTTAATCTTAAGTGCCGATTATGCATCATTCTCTCCTGTTAACAGACACTTCTGTAAGTGATCTGCACAGAGAGAAATATGATTCTTACATAAATACTGTACCATGAGAAATTATCTTATTACCTAATATGCCAAAAAGCTAATAAGATAAAGGAATGGTACGAGTCATTTTTGGACAATATTAAAACTTGATTTTAGCTCATGGAAATAAAATGTAATTTCTTTTTATTATTCTCTTCTGCAGGTAGAACAAAGGCAGTGAAGGGTGTAAGGATATTAGACAGCTGTGTTCCGTGAGCTCTCGTTAAGGCTGTGGAAGGGATCCAGGCAGGATGGCCTCAAATTAAGATTTTAATGACTTTACCGTTCAGAAAACACACTCTTGCTGTTAATGATATCTTGTCAGGTCTGATTTTTGAATTCACAGGTGAAAGTAAAAAAAAAATTTTTTTTCTTACTTGCACAAATAGTTGCTTCTGTGTATTTGCATATGTATGTCTATTAAGGAACAAACGCATAGTGCTTGCAGGAAGTAAAGGCAAATATTTTCAAGGACTGGAAGTTTCCTGAATTGTGTGTCTGTGGTGAAGGTGATTATGTGTTGCACTTTGACAAGGTGAGGGCAGCTACAACCAAATAGTGACTCACTATGGGCCACACAAAGACTTTGTGAGCTTCGAATGTACATTTAAACATTATTCTTTGGAGGTTAAATGTTTTATTTACAAATGAACAAATGGTGATTGCTCTTGATGAAATTTAAATAGAAACCCAGTTGTGAAAAATTTGTGGCTGTCACCATCATTTGGTCAGTTTTCCATCTTCAGGGACGGAAGCAGTAAAGTTTTTTTATTTTTTTCTTTCTTTATTTTTTTGTTGCTGCAGTTTTGGCCAGGGCCAGGCTCAAACCTGCCACCCTTAGTATACGGGACTGGTGCCCTACTCCCTGAGCCACAGGTGCCAGCCAGAAGTAAAGTTTTTTTTTTTTTTTTTTTTTTTGAGACGGAGCCTCAAGCTATCCCCCTGGGTAGAGTGCCATGGCATCACGCTCACAGCAACCTCCAACTCCTGGGCTCAAGCGAGTCTCCTGCCTCAGCCTCCCAAGTAGCTGGGACTACAGGCGCCCGCCACAACGCCTGGCCATTTTTTGGTTGCAGCCATCATTGTTGTTTGGCGGGCCCGGGCTGGGGATTTGAACCCGCTACCTTAGGTGTATGTGGCTGGCGCCTTAGCCGCTTGAGCCACAGGCGCCGAGCCAGAAGTAAAGTTTTGATGCTGGTGACAAAGATGTGAGATAGTTATAGACACAAGCCCATTTCTTTCTTTCTCTCTCTCTCTCTTTTTTTTTTTGCAGTGTTCCCTTCCTATCACTCTGATAGAAATAACACTAACTACTGATGAATGCTATCAGTCTTCTGTGACATGAGATTTTTCATCCAGGGAAAATATGTGTAATGTACCTAGGACCTCAACAAAATTTAATAATCTCTATGTCTTGTCATGTGCTAGACTTTTCCCACAAATGCCTATGTGTTTGCCTGGAAATTTAAGGTAACCGGCCTATCCTCACTACAAGATGAACTTTTTCTTAGGTGTTAGACAAACTCATTGTGCTCATATCGAGAAGAGTTTCTAAGAGAGTATACGTAGAATATTCTTCGACGGACATTTTCAAGACTTATTTCAAGACCTAGATCTATTTGTGAAACTTTCAGGATAGATCTGCCGGAGGCTGGAGAATGAACTACGTGAACTGGTAAAATTCCACTAACTTCCAATATTCCAAAGTAGTGCATCCATTCATTTACAGTACGCTAAAATGACACCTTTAAGGCGCAGAGGTGGTGATGACTGGTAACTATCATAGGTTTGGCAGTAACATTTTTAGACTCTACAAACATGTTTGTGAAACTGTGATATCCCAGAGGGAAACTGTTCATGTGAGTGCCCATTTTTCTATAGAAAGAAACACAGGGGCTTGTCTTGAAGATAAAACTAAAATAAGAACCTTTAAATTCAACGAGGTAAAGTTCAGGCTGACTTAGAGGTTTAATATTTAGCTTGGTTAATTAAATCCCATTCTTTGCCTTGAATTTAATTATCCCAATCAATGTGGTAACTTAATATAATAATAATAAAGGGGTTAATGAGAAATGGAAGAGAATCTATTCACTCATCTGGCTCAGTGGGGGCATTTCTTCTTGAAGTATCAGTTTACGGCGATGTTTTATAGGGTATGTGTGAATTTTCAATTAGTGAGAAAGTGGAAATGAAAGACAGACACTAGATCGTCAATGAGTGATTATATCAGGAAATCACTAAAAAGCTCATCTGTAAAGTTCAGGGCATATTTTAATGTGACTTCATCATAATTCAGGCAATTCTCTCCCTGGGCTGAGCTTAAATCATGTTCTTAATACCTTGTATGAAAAAGTCCTTCTTTAGAGTTAAACCAAATATTTTCTACTTCTAAACAAAAAAACGAATGCTTAAATGAATGCTTTCTTGTTTAGTCATCACTTTCAACACACGTGGCTGTCGTCTTCCTTAATATTGCTCAAGCTCCACCATGTATGTCAACGCGGGGGTGCTGTGCAGCAGAAATCAGCTCAGCTGGAAGCTTGCTGGCTGTGTCGGGTTGCTAATCTCATTGAGCCTCAGTGTTGTCATCTGTGAAATGAGAATGATGCCATCTATTCCTCTCAGACTGCTGAGAGGATAAAGTGAGAGAATGGGGAGGACACCATATAGCCTGTCTGCTATATAACAGATGCTTGGCAAATGGGGACTCCCCGTCTTCTGAGCAAGTCACAGTGTTCTTATAAATGCATAACATACACTGAGGCTAACGTAAAGCCGTGTGTTTCAGCTTATCAACCAGGGCAGTGCTCCTCAAACTTTAAAGTACCAGTGATTCATGTGGGGATCAGCTTAAATATAGATTTGCAGTCAGCCCGAGATTCTGAATTTCCAACATACTCCCCTGAGGATGCTGACACTGCCAGTTGGGGGGCCACACTTTTAGTAGCGTGGAACCACAGCCATGACTTCTCAGTACTGAGGTGACTTTGAGACACTGAGGTAAATTGCAAAACAGAATTTTACTCTACCTTTTTTTTTTTTCCTGGTTTAACAATAAAAATAGCGGGGGAAATCTGAAGATGCTACAGAAAAAAGGTTTGAATGAACACATTTAAAAATTTGGGAAGCTCAAATCCATTCTACACACTTTCATTTATTGTCTGGACAGATAAAATACAAATAATTCAAACACAACAAGATTATGAAAAAAAAACATTTACAATACTTTCCCTCGGAAATCATCTAAACTAGCAAGATTAACATGAAGTCATTCATTATAACTAAAGTATACAACTGCCTGGTCCTAAGTTTTTTTTTTTCCTTTTTATTGTGCCCCCCCCCAAGATTGAACACATTATAGAGAAGAGATTTTGGCATGCCTTTCCCACTAATGCTTAGCAAATGCATCAACACTTTGCCAGCAAACTGCGTTCATTCATAGCAGGTGACGTCAAAAGATTTCCCTGAATGTTGAACGAGTGTTCTCTGAACTGAAATCCGGTATTATTTCCAAAAATCAAAAAGAGGAAAAAGAGAAACAGAAAAAAAAAAATTGAAAGGAGAAGTCTCTGATGCAGCCTTAGTATTTGTTACCTGTCTACCACTACCACGACTACTACACGTTTGCCTCTTCAGTGTGAAAACAACAGACCTGTCTACATGCACTTAGTGGGTTCAGCATGGGAAAAAATGCACAAAATAAGCACAAGTTATAAATAACCATAACGTTTTATTACCATTAAGACTAAACTTGTATTGAAAAGATTTTATATAACAAGACAAGAAAAGCAATAGCAAATTTAACTATCAACTAGATTATGCATAGCGAGCAACTGTTTCTATTACCCAGGGAAGAGCATGAACCCTTGTATTTTTTTGTTTTGTTTTTGTTTTAAATATATAACCGTACAAAGCACAAACATACTAAAATGATCAGTGCACTGGACATGGGAGAGTGCTCCCTCAGTCATTTTGTTCCCTTAGCTCTGTTTTGTTTTCCCCAATCTGAATTACATTAAAAGAAAGACCCAGTTGTTTTTATTCTTCTACTGTGCAGTAAGAAAAAATATTCACAACAAACATGACAATATATCAAACAATAGTTCTACACAAGTTACCTTGATACCTCTTTAACTGTCACTTAAATATCATAAGAAAACATTTTAAGACATATACAAACGAAACTAGCCAAGTGTTACAACTTATAATAAATTAACCCAAAGAAAAAAATAACTTTATATATATATATTTATATTGTATATACACATACACACACAACAAAATGACACAATAATATGCTTCTTCCCACAGTTTAAGTAAACAAATAAGTAGTCTAGCCAATCTAGCTATATTTGATCTCGGCCATAGGCATCATCACATCTGCGATTAAATAAATAAGTGTTTCAAGCAACATAAACAGTGTCTCAAATGTACCAACACAGCCCAATTCTATCAGCATGGGCTACAAAGTGAATTTGAAAATTCCTTAATGAATTTAAAGCAAATGTATCTTTTGTTTTCCTCTTCTAAACACATTACATTTAACTATGATACTAAGATATGTAAATAATTTTGTAGCACCTACTGCTCAAACTAAGGAAGTTTTAGATCAAAAGGAAAATTAATCTTTTTAAATTTTTGTTCTGCTGACATCCCATACTGATGACTTAAAGAAAAACTGTCTTTCAACTCATCTCCTTGCTTTTGGGTTTTGACTGTGGGGAACTGTGGTACCCTGGGTAGAACGAACACTCCTTTCCCCTAGTAATTAATAATTTTTTTTAATTATTATTACATGCTATGAAAAGATATGAAGATCATCTGTTTATAGCCCATCCTTCAAAAAACAGTCTACGAATCCAGTTTAAAACACACATCTTGATCTCTAAAAAGTTACCAGTGCAGTATGAACGCGACAAAGTTGTCAATTTCCCCTAAATTAGCCAGTCAAAATATTTTTTTCTCAAATCCAGATTCTCTTGTAAAAATTCTTTATATTTTATAAAAATAGATTTTTCTTGAAACCCATTTTCAGCAAAGAGACCACCTCTTTGGCAACAATGTTAATGTTATTAAATTGTTAATGTCATCAGGTATCCCCCTCGCCCCGTCCCCTAACAGAAGACTGTTTTAGTTTCACATGATATAAAAGAAAAAAGGAAAAATAAAAAAATTTGCAAAAGTTTTTTTTTTTCATTTTTGCAATTTTTATTATTCCTCTTTAATTTGTGTGGGGTATTTTTTTTTTTTTTACCAATCTGATTGGATCAACATTTTGACAAAAAAAGAAAAATCTTTTTTTTCCTTTCTTTGAATCCCATTACTATGTAAAAATTGTTTTTTTTTTAATTTTTTTTTTTTTGTTTTTTGTTTTTCTTCTTCAAATGAGCGAATGGTCATCTTAAAAAGACCCACCTTCAAGGAAGGTAGTAAAGTTAGCTGGCTGGGTAAAAATCCCTGCACATCGCTATCTATGTATATATTCAACAACGACAGCTATGAAAGAACATTCAATGCATCAAAGGTATTTTTTTTGTTTTTTTTTTGTTTTTTTGTTTTTTTCTAAGCGTTATAAAATCCTTTCCTGGTACACCTCAGGATAATCCAATGTTTTAATACTTAGGCAACACTGGCTTATAAAGTCCATGGTTGAATATAAGCCTCGAAAAGTTTGTTTCTCTCTCTTTTGTGTGTGTGTGTGTGCACGCGTGTGTTTTGTTCGTATATATTTATATATATATTTTAATAAGTAAGAATTGGAAATTCAGGACTTGTGGGCTTTGTTGGTTTTAAAGGAAACTTGTAACACTCTGTCTCCCAGGCGGTACCCGTTGAGGCTGGCAATGGCCATGGCCGCCTCGTCATAGTTGGTCATGGTGACAAAGCCGAATCCCTTGCACTTGTTGGTATTGAAGTCACGGATGACCTTGACGTTGTTCACTGCTCCAAAGGGGCCGAAGAGCTGCCAGAGGACACTCTCGTCAGAATCAGGGGACAGATTGTAGACGAAGATGCACCAGCCTGTTCCTGTGTGACCAGGGATGTTCATTCCCACAAGGCTTGTCATCCCATCAATGGTGATTGGAGAGAACCTGGGGGGACAAGCAGAAGGGGGGACTGGTCCAGACATCAGTCTGACCATGGATAACACACAGATGCACAGACAGAGACACAGGGCAGAGGGCTGAGTGAGTGTTTGCTGGAGAGTCTTCAGGGTTTAAACACCAAAATGTAAAAACTAATGTCTATGGTACTTTTCCTATTGGAATGGCTAGATTGGCTAAGGCAGGTACACGCTGAGAGAAAGACCTAGGACAATTCTTAAAAAACACCAGGGACTCCCAGGACTCCCAGAGCAAGTCTCTATCATTCTACCACAGTATGTGCTCACAGAGTATCCCACCCTGACCCTACCCTGCCCCCATACACACAAGAGATAGTGAGCTCTTGGGGAGAGGGGCTCTACTTCATTTATTCTGTGGTTCTATTTATTTATTCAGTGGAGCATATGTGGCAATCTCACAGACGTAGTGGTACACAGAAAACACTCAAGAAATATTTATTGATTGGATAAATAAACATCTCTGGTTGCTGCCAGTGCGTAGGAAATTTTATTTTTCTGAGGCCCTGCTCAAGTCTACCATCTTTTCAGTCCCTTGACTTGTGGTGTCAAAGATCTACTAGTATTACTGAGAATACTAGTATATGGAGATATGTGAGAATGAACAGGCACGTCTTGTTATTAAACATCTGGGTGGCTCATGTCTCATTTAGCATTTACTCAAAAGGGTTCCCAGAAAATCTGAATAATAGTAATAAAGATGCATCACTCCTTGATGCTACATTTTCTGGAATTCATTTCTAAGAATTACTAGAGCGAGGCTTCAAGCGGTTTGTGCGTTTATGTATCTCGAATTGCTATACATTAGAAAAGCACTTGCCCTATTTTATCTGCTTTTGTATTAAGTTTAGAAAGCGTCTTAGTTTTTGTGTAATCCTAAAAGTAAAATATAAATAAAAATATGACCCTTCAGATTCTATTCACTGTCTGATAAAATAAATCCAAGTTTGATTAGCATTGGCTGTATCTGATGAAACAACAAGGTTCCTAGTGTCTACTATAGCTGAAACAATATTTGTTAAAATTTTGTTTCATACTGAACTCATACAGAGATTTTGACCCTCCACACTGACCAATATCTTACCATTTGCTTGGGGTTTAATTTTAGGGGGATGGGAGTAGGAGAGGAAACAAAAACTAGGGAAGAGCATTGGGTGAAGCATGTGAGCTAGTGTGCTTTTAAAAATAAATACTCTTGGAGATTTGAAAATCCTTTTAAAGAGGAGTTCTGTAACTAGAATTTAGATAATCAAATGGCTTCTGAAGATATGCTAGACGTAAGTTGATAGACGTTATTTTTGCTATTATTCACTAAGTCAATCTTTCCTCTTGCTTAAAACAAATAACAAGACAAAACTAAAAAAACACCATGGTACGTATACTTGGAGGGGAAAATCCAAGTCTACTTGCTATCTGCAGCTGAAGACTGTCTTCTCAACCTTCTGTTCTCCAACCAGATAAAGTGGCCTCTTTCAGTTTATATGTAGAGAACAGCTAAATATTTATTTTTAAGGCTGAGATCAGGCCAAGAAGTTGCAAGCAGAGCCTCAATTCTAGTTTGTGATGAATATGTGGAGGAGTTTAGTAGGAAGGATTCTAGATCCAGTCTGGGTTCAATAGGAAAAGGGATTGCTGTTATTAACTAGTGATGTCTACTCTGGGTGGGGCGGTGAAGGAGGTGTCGGCAAGCGTGCCACAGCCATATCATCCCTGGTCTCATCTCGTTACAAGCATCACTCTTCTCATAACATTTGGTGCTACCTCACTAAAGTCAGAGAGGAGCGAAGGAATGGGACAGAGCTGGGAAGCATGTAAAGTGCCTGGGAACAGGCAAGCAGAGTGATGGACATGTGGAGCTAATTCACAGTTATCTGATAGTGAAGTCTGCAGTCAAGTAACTTTCTCTACTATGTACTACTTCCCAGAGTCAGGGTACTTACCATGCAGGGCCCACTGGCAGTTGAAAGAACTGCCTAGTACAGGGAGTGTGATGTGGACTATTAAAGATCACATCTTTTCCCCCTGACTGTAGGGAGGGGAATTAAAGCGTGCAGCTCTACTGAGCAAGATGATGAAGACGCTACGTCCCTAGCAGTGCAGTGGAGCTTATCAAAAGCACATATGGGAATCTCATGGACACAGTGACATAACACACCTAACTTCCCAAGATTCAGAGTTCAGACTGGGTCTGGAATACCCCTGTGACTGCATTCAGACGCCCCCAAAGCCTTGACTCTTTCTGAGTCCCCAACCCCACAACAAAAGGCTTTCAATGAAAAGAACATCAAGTTAAAAACACACATACATATATAACCAAGGGAGGATTTATAAGAACTGTTAAAACCTGTAACAAAAGAAAGCCCAGGCTGAGGTGCACACAGATACGCTTCATTGTCAGGATGTGCTCTGAAATGCACGCCGAGGTGGGGGCGGGAGTACAATGTCATCCACGCGTTTATTTACGCTTTGGCCAGGCTGGTAGTCCAAAATCTGACTTTTCTACTGACAGTCATAAGATTGTCAACAATGATTAGCAAAATGTTCTGATTTGTTGGAATTTGCCCTCTTAACTGAATCTTGGCATTGCTAATTCAAAACAGTTGCTCTGGACCTTTGCAAAACCAGCCAGCAAAGAGTCAAAGCCTTCCTCGCCCCCTCCTTAGGGGAGTCATTCAAAGGTCTGGATTGTCAAGGGCTTGGTAGCTGTGGCACCTGAACCATAGGAGAAGCCCACCTGCAAATAAAAGAAAAAGTGAAACACACAAATACATTTTGTGTGCCCTAAAAGAAACAAAATCAACTGAGGTCTGAAATTAAAATTAAGAATTTGACATGCTGGTGGAAGAAAAGGAAGGATTCTTTTTTTTTTTTTTTTAAAGTAAAGTTAGTGAATTAAAAAAAAAAAAAATTCTAGCCCCAGTCTGTGCCAACACGGACATCTGGCAATCTGTGGAGTTTTAATTACCTCTTTACGCCATAGGCCATATTAAGCAAATTGTCCAGCCTGCAAAGAGAAGGAGGGTCTCTGGGTTAATGCCTCACAGATGGCAAGATCGCTCAATGGAACTATTAATAAGAATGCTCCATTTTCAAAGAAGAAAAGCTTCAACAACTTTCCCCACTGCTTAGGAGTCTATCCACCGGTAGTTTCCCCTTTTCTGCCTCCAACTGCAAGTAATTCATGTTCCGGTCAATGCTGGAGTTTAAAGTAAGTGTCTAATGAATCTCCTTTGCTTTCAAAGGTCTGAATTAATCCCACTACCCCCAGCTCTCAGAACATTTGTGTGGATTTTGTTTTATATTGTGTGTGAAATTGTTAAAAGGGGAGGCTTCTTAAATTGTTCACCTTTCATCATAATTAAACTTGTGAATAAGGATCTCTGTTCCAGATTAATAATACTTGGGCACACAATAAGCGTCAGAAAAGACCTTTTCTGTTAGCCTAGCTACATTAACTAAATCTTCTTACCACACGCACTTTCAGGAGGCTGGGGGAGTTTGTGGGTTAAGATTTTTTAAAATTAGCTTGCTATTTACCTCCTGGTAACACCTCCCAGCAAACTGCCATTATGTTATAATCTTCTTCAGTACCTTATTTAGGGACAAGCTAGTCACACCATGGGGCAGTAGTAACCATAGTTTCCACCATTAGAAGCCTGCTGGAGAGGCTTTTTACATAAATACTGCATGTGCTCTCACACAAAATAAAAATTAGATGACTTGCACTCTTCATGAAATCATTAACCATTTCAAATTCATGGGGCACGGGAGGACACCAAAAAGGCTGATTTTTCTCCTCATTGTGGACAAATGGACCATACTGTCCTAGATAGAAGTAGCTACTATTTGCCTATGTCAAATCTGACAAGGAGAAAAAGCCTTTCATTAAAGGGAAGTTGGGACATGGGTGGAATAAAGTAATGACTTAGAATTCATTAGAGATAGATAAAAAATAGACAAATTCTCATCTTTTCCATAATAGAGGCCTGTCAAGATCATAGTACCTTCATGGAGAGAAACCTGCCTTTTAGAAAAGTCTCAGGACAGGAGAAATGGCCCCGTTTTACCAGAAATTTCCTACACTTTAGATACCTCAACAAAGCACTATTAAAGCTTGGACAAATTTTTCCTCCTTATCTTCCCAGAGTCTGCTGACTTAACAGAGTAAAGTTAACACCAAAGAAATTCTCCCTTTCCCTGAACCCAACAGAGTTACCTGTTAGGGAAAAGAGGACAGGAAAAATGACTGCCTCTGGCAAGGATCTGCCTCCCGGTCTATTCTTTGACTTTATTGAAAGCCACCGTCCAGCCTTAAGTTTAATATGCTGAATGTGGTCACTTGTCTGTGATTAACTCTTGTTGAAACTGAACCTTCTTGTTTGGTTAAATGCCATAATTTTTTTTCTAACAAAGAATCAGAAGTTTAACCACACAGTCATGGTGGTAAATGGAAAAAGGGGGCTGGAAGAGCTCCTGGTCCAATCGTTTCATTTTACAGGAGTGGAAACTGAGGCTCAGGGGGAGTTTCTGCAGAGTGATTCCTGGGATCGAAGGCTCTTTTCCTGGCCCCATTCTTCAGAACCATGCACTTCCCTCGCCCAGCTCTGAACAGCCTCCTTCCTCTCTGGGCATGCCTACCTGAACCTCTGAGCCTGGTGGTGAAGTGGGCCAGGGTAGCGCCGGTTGGGGGACTGGTAGAGCTGGGAGAGCAGGGCCTGGCTGGACTTCTGGCTGGGGTTGTTGGCAAACTTCACAGTAATCGGTTCCGTAGCACCGCTGGGCTTCTGGCCATTCAGCCCTTTGATGGCTTCTTCTGCTTCGATCCTCTTATCAAAGCGGATGAATCCCACCCCTCTGGACACTCCTGGGGAAAGAGAAAGAGCCTTTGTAAAGAGCGAACAAACCCAGGTCAGCCTGCTGCCTGAGTCCTCTTTACAACCCTGCCAAGTAGTTTAGCTGGTGCTCAAACGTCTTCCATGATGGAGAACTCCTCCTACCTCCCACGATGGCCCATTTTAATTTGGGGAGACTGATAAGTCTTTTCCCCAGGTCAAGCATCTGTCTATTCTTTTTTTTTTTTTTTTTTTTT